TTGCTAAAAAAGTGTGAATAATTAGGTAATTTTTTTAATCTATTGACAGCACTAATTATATTATATTATATTATATTATATTATATTATATTATATTATATTATATTATATTATATTATATTATATTATATTTAAATTATATTTATATTATCGAATGCTTCTTTATTCAGGTTTCAGACAATGAATAAATCTGAATTTCATAAAATTGTGAATGGTTTTGTGTTTCAGGGTCAAATATGCAACAATTAAAACAATTAATAAATAACTAATTGAAATAATTTCATTATTTTAACTTAAATATTACAAAAGTATTTATACTTATCAAATCTCCACTTGAGTTTATTTCACCCATTCTACAATCTGAGATATCAGTTTCCCCTTTACTTATTTCTAATTGTAAATCTTGTTATAATGGAAACTTCACCTTACAGAAGTTCAGTTGGTTGCAAAATGGCAGCTTAATCCAGGATATTTTAAGAAATCTTTTTTTTATTATTTCCGAGCTCCACCAAATTCAAGTTATTTGATGTTTGAGCACATTTTTCATGGGTGATCCATTTGGCCCCCTTGCTGTTTCTTTCAGCATGCTAACCTGCTCTCGTTTTTCAGCAGCAGCACAGAGCCGCCCGCGCTGCATTATTAATAGAGGAGCGCTGTTGCCTTTGCTCCTTGGGCGCAGGCTGAAGCACTCTCTCCAAACCTTGTGGGATTTGGACTGTTTCATGCCTGTAAGATCAGTGCGCACTGAATGCTTCAAAAGACAGAGAGCAAGTCGCAGGCCAGATCATACGGGACCCCGCGCTGCCACGAAAAGTGTGTGCGCACTACAGCTTGCTGCCCAATCCCTGGGTGACAGTCACAAGCCCCCTTATAAATGACCCCCTCAAACATATGCTGTTGTGGAGAACACAGCAGAATATCAGGAGGACACTGCCCATTTAGAAGACACTCATCTTACTTCCCAGTTCCCATAGGGCTCAACAGGATAAATAAAACCCTGCAGACTTTGGCAGGTATATTCACAATAGCCTCTAGCTATGAGAAGATCACACACACTCACAAATACTTATGAACACACTGTAAAGGCATAATACATTTCATACTGTAATAATTCAGTTCTTATATGCAGTGTTGGGATAATGCGTTATAAGTAACACAGGTTCATAATGTATTTTTCTAAAGTAACAAGTAATATAACGCATACTTTTTAAAACAAGCAATATTATTTGAGTTACTTTTTTTAAATGTAACGTGAGTTACTTTTTACCTTGCTTAATTGGCTTTTACAAAATACATTGCGGAGTAAAAATTAATTTAATCAAGTTGAATCACACACTCAATGAGCGAGCATGTTGTGAGGTAACAAACAGTCGGCTCGCCCTCATCCTCATCATCAGGTCTGTTTTTTCACAGCAGATGAGTCAGTGTACTGTTCTTCTAACTGAATAAATCGGGAAATGGGTTTATTAAGAGCCATAGGAGGTATCCGGTATGTTAGTACTTACTAAAGACGCAAACTGTTTCATGGCAACACCGTTCAATTTAATGAACTGGTTCGACCGGTTCACTTAATAGATGCGGTTAAAACAAACAATTTATTTGTGAATCATCTGTCCTCAGTACAGACAGTCAGAACGGCAGGCTGGAGACTTACATTTTTGCTGTGGATTCTTGATTTTTTTATAACACAACATCAAAAAAAAAAAAAAAAACAGGATGCAAAGCACTTTCAGCCAAACAAAAAATGATTGACATCAGTTCATGCTCTCCTGGTAAAACAATTAATTTGACTAAACTAAAAAAAAAGTTTTTGCTATTATTGTAATGGAGGTGTAGCCATCGTCTGACCTTACAGTAGAAGTGACTAGGTTTTGTAATATAGTAAGATTTTTCTCTTTTGGGAAATGAATTACACATTGATTTGGGACTGTTTTTTTGTCGTCTTGCTGTTCATTTTGTTATTAATGATTTTAAAGGTTTGAAATATGTTTTTGATTTATTCAATTATTTCTTGTTAGTACTCTTTATAGCAGTCTTTATCTCAATGGACGGTGAATTTACTTAACTAATAACACAAAACATACACAAGCAGCAAACACATTGGTCTCTATTTTGACGGTCCATGCACAAAACGCAAAGCGCAGGGTGCAAATGCTTTCAGGGCGTGTCAGAATCCATATTTGCAAATTTAAGGACGGAAAATCTGCTTTGCGCCGTGGCGCATGGTCTAAAAGGGTTGAGTTTATTTTCTTAATGAGTTATAGGTGTGTTTTGAGAATAAACCAATCAGAGTCTCATCTCTCATTACCTTTAAGAACCAGCTGCGTCGCGCCATAAGCGCATTTGCTATTTACATGACGTAAAGTAAGTTCACTTCCGCTTTCGCTCTCGTGGATAGGGAAACCTTTACGCACAGACATCAATTAGCCTATAAATAATTCATTTTGTTTGTTAAGTGCAAAGATTTGTTTCAAAACTATTTCTAAATTCAGTTCTAATTTCCAGCAAACGAATAAATGAACAATAATAACGAAGTGTGCTCAAAAACCTGAGTTATTTCCGAAAACACCTGCTATGCCGCATATGGTCTAAAACCTGACAGGTGGACAAATCTAAGGTTGTTTTTAATAAAACAAATATAAATATGGATATAATAAATAAAACTGCTAATAATAATAACATTATACAAAAGCAAATTAAATGTACTGAAAAAGCCTCCCGAGATGAAGAAAGTATGAAATCAGTGTTTTTTAAATTCATGTAGGCTAGAAATTAATATGTTTTGTAATAGTTTAATCATTTATATTTCTATCCTATATATATCCTTACTATATATTTCCTTAATATATTATATCTTTTTCATATGTAAAGATATTTGCGTATTGCTCTACGTCTTGTGTGTAGTGTGTAAGCCAGGCGCACTTTGCGTCAGACAATAGACCGACTTTGTTCTGGTCTAAAGAACAGACTATTTACAGTTTCTCAAAATAGCAACTAGCCAAAACACGCCTGCTTTTTTAGACCAGAACGCCTATGGGCGCACATATAAGCGCAAATGCATTTGCTATTTAAACAGTGTGGCGCAACACCTCAAAATGACCCTTGCGCCGAGGTGAAAGTAGCAAATAACAATTGCGTTGCGTCTTGCGCCACATTGCACCACATTGCGCCACATTGCGCCGGGTGTATGATTGGGCCCATTACTTTACATGCTGTCATTAATCTGTATGTACAGGATGTAGCTCCGGACTCAGAAAGATCTCAAAATATAATTGTATCCTACATTTTTTAAGGGAAAGTGAAGGTGTAGCTTATATCGTGGCTGTTAAATGCAGAGCTTCTCTATAAAAGTAGGTGAAAAAACACCTGCAAGTTCTGAAAGAGATTAAACCTCAGCCAGGTGAGAAAAAGTAATGCAGAAGTAATTCAAAAGTAATATAACACATTACTTTCAGTAATGCAACTAATTACTTTTTGCGGAGTAACTCAATATTGCAATGCACTTCTTTCAAAAGCAACTTACCCCAACACTGCTTATATGGCCCTACACTAAAAAAATGCATTGGATTTACAATTTTATTTAAGGTAAGTGGTTGCAAACAATTTAAATGGACTAAATTAAACAAACACATTACTTACAATACAGCTTATATGAATTGTTTGCAACCACTTACCATATTTACTATGGAAATGCAACCCTCACAGAAAACATATGGCAAATTGTGAATTTCAAAAGACCCCGACAGGTGTGATTTTGAAAGATTTTGAATTATGAAGACACAGTATGTCCTTATGAACAACCCCAACTCTTTTCCCTCCTGTGTTTTTTTTTTTTTTTCAAGTTCCCTGCCACTGCCAGGATTTTTGATGATTTTCAACTAATTCCAATGGCCCTCAGAATGATTTCTGCTAGGAATATCTGAGCATAATATCTCAAAATAAAGATCCAAGCTTTTGCTTTCAAACTAAAAATAAAGTTTTGCATTATATTTTTTGTTCTATTATTTGTGTATTATTATCTTGTTTTATCCTCACTTGAATGCTTGTAGGTTTCTTTAAAAACAGACAAAAAAAGACAGATTATTTATTTAATCTAAAATTTCAAGATAAATACACACAGATCTTTATAATTTTTACATTTTCAGATAAACACTGTTTAGTATTTTTTTATTATTATTTATTTTCTCATCTGAGCTGGCAAACACACTTTGAAAAGCTTTGAAGAATTTGATGCTAAATTATGCAGACTATTATTTTTTAAATGCAGACTCATAGAAAAAGACAGTAAAAACCGTAACATTGTGAAATACTTTAATTTGCTAACAAAATCTTGTCAAATCTTTTAGTTTGTCATTATTTTTTATGCTTTTCTTTCTTACTCTGTTTGCTCCAAACTTTTAAATTATTGTATATCACAATTTCCTGGATTCACCACATCAGCATGTTACAGGTCACATAAAATGGCATTCAAAATCACATTATTAACATGAACAAAGCACAAAGAACCTGAGGTGATCATTATTCACCTGTTAGAAATAAAAGCTGTTTGTAGAATAGAAATATCAGGTGTTGGTTAGGAAAAAACTCAATAATAAATAAGGACTCTATAAGGAAAATATTCCTTTTATCGCATGTCGTTGCTTTTAGTTAGAAAACGGTTCAAATCAGCCTTTGCTTGAATGTCAGGCACATTCACATCAATCTGGCTACCTGCACTTTCTTTGACTCGTCAGAGGAGGATCCGAGAGAAAATGTGTTTTGATTCAGGAGTGCAATACCTAGTTTAACCACTGGGTGTCAAACTTCTATAGTGCACCTTTAAATATGATTTCTGAAAGATCATATGACACTGGAGGCTCATTCAATCAATACTACAGTGCTCAGTTTCAACATGACAGGAAGAAATAACATTCTACCTCAAGTACTCAAGTACTAAAAAAATGTCAAACGAAACATTTCCAGTTTTGAAGATGATCATTATTCTCTTGCTTTCCAAACAGGGTATAAACTTCTGCCCTGGTCAGGAGGTTCCTGGTGTCACCACACACACTCAACAGGAGCACACCATGCAGCCACTCATCTTCCACCTGGGACGAGACCCTGGAGAGAGATACCCACTCAGGTAAGTGCTGAAGAGTGGACAACAGCTGCCAAGAAACACACTATTTATTAACTGGTTAGTTCACTCAAAAACTTAGATTATGATTTTAGACTTAAGATTATAGCTGCGTCCCAAATGGCACACTATACACTATGCACTCATGCACTATGTACCTATGCACTTACACTTACACTTACATACATAGTACATGTATGTAGTGGCATCCCAAATGGCAAACTAATGTTTTTTTACTAAGCGGAAATTCAAACCGTTTCCCTGATGACGTTTGACGGTTGCCAAATCAGTGAAATAAACGACCGAATTATCAAATAATACCTGCTGCGAGTATTGCCGCATTCACCATCGGGAGACGCTATTATCACTCTTGTGGGAGAATTTTGCTTTCACAATCCAAAATAAATAAAGTTATTCAACATGTGCGTCCGATAGCTCTGCCCCTTCCGCTACGTAAGCAAACCTGCGGCCCTTGAGTGCGTGAAGTGTCCATCATTACACACTTCATTTTAGCGGCTGAATGAGTGCACCATCCGGGTAATTAAAGTGCACTTATTATTTTTTGAGTTTTCAGTGTGAACACACTACTTACACTATTTATACTACAAAATGGCGTAGAATAGTGCATAAGTATGCGATTTGGGACGCAGCTTATGTTAATTACTCACCCTCATGTCACTACAGACCTCTGAGACCTTCGTTCAGAATATTTTGGGTGACATTTCACCACATTATCCTCCATAGATTTCAACAGTCCCGACTCATTTACAGGCCAGAAAGGTACCAGAAAACATCTTTAAAACAGACCAGACCATACAGTGCTTCGGTCGGAACATTATCAAGCTATGAGAATACATTTATGCACACAAAATAAATAAATGACTTTATTTTTATTTTAAGTTTCTTCTTCTCAGTGTCAGTATATTGTGCACGTTCACAAACATGTATGCCCCCCGGATGTGCACACGTGTCTTCCTCTTTTTAAAACAAATCACAGGAGCATCCTAGCCCCCGTTTACACTATTAGGTTTTGATGCCCATTTCCGATTTGTTGCCTATATCAGATTTTTTTTGTCTGTTCGTTTACACGTTCTTTAATTGTGATCCATATCCAATTCATGTGTTTACACTTGCCATACAATTAATGATGCATAAACGCGGGTTCTAGCACCTGTACCACACTAGCCAGTAGCCAAGATGGAAAAAAATTGTCTTGTTTTTAGCTCTGTGAAATATGCGAAGTGTAGTATAAGCAGTGAATGGTTTAGTCCAGATTTACCCCCATGCAGTTTATGTAATGGTCTGGCCCTGATGTGTGTGTTTAGTTGGAAGATGTAGCCTGTGCCTGTGTGCGCACTGGCGTTGGAGAGAATAAAGTTGTTCTATGTTTAGCCCAGTACGAGAGAGATCTCAGGTCTGGTGGGAGCAAATTGCGGTGACTGACCACACGCTCTTCCTTCTACATCATTAAACCGGGGAGAAGCACCACATGCCGCAAGTTAAATGATGTACAGAACGGAATGCCTCAATAAATCTGATCTGCCTGTTTACATGACAGTCACATTGTCACATATCCGATTTATATCTGATTTATTTCCACATATGAAGGAGACCTGAAACCGATCTCTGAATATCCGAAAGCATGCGTTTTTTTTTTTTTTTTTTTTTTTTTTTTTTTTTTTTTCTCATGTTTACACGGCCATAGAACAGATCCGATCTGTCTCACGTATGAGGTAGATACATGTCATTAGAGTAAACTGTTGAATGAAGTTGTTATTTTTGATTATGTGTGCACAAATGTATTCTTGTAGCTTGATAATATTCTAATTGAATCACTAAAGGCATATGTTCTGTTTTATGTTCATATGTTCTTTGAATGACTCTGGAACCTTGCTGTCTATGAAGGATGAGTAAGCTCTAAGATTTCACCTCAAATATTATTTTTAATATTATTTATTTTTAATTATTTTTACTTATTTGTTTTATTTATTTTATTATTAATAATAAGTATTTATTTATTCATTTATTTATTTATTTATTTATTTTAGAGCTGGAAAAAAGCTAATCCTGATTAATCACATGCAAAAGAAAAGTTTGTTTTGTTATAATTTGTGTTTACTGTGTATATTTAATTTGTATATGTAAATACACACATATATTCAAGAAAAAGGTTTATTAATATTTAGATATAAAACATATATAAATATGTTATAAATTATATATAAATTGAAATATCTACCTATGTAACAAAATTGCTTTGAATAGTTTTGTTTCTATGCGTATATGTGCGTATCACTTATACATAATAAAAATATGCAATACACAAACATATATTATAACAAAGCAAACTTTAAAATTTGGATGCGATTAATTGTGATTAATCTTTGCCCAGCATTATTGATTTATTATTGTTATTATTAATAATAATTATAATAATTATTATTATTATAGGAAAGAAGAAGCATCATTATAATCCTCATTATCATTATCATCATCTACTAAAGTAAATACAGAAAATAAGTATTGATCACGTCATGTTTTTTTTTTTTTTTTTCCTGGGAAAAGTACCTCTAAAGGAGCTGTTGACATAAAATGTAACCAGATTTTGTACAAAACCCAAACAATGCAAACACAGAAATAAATTTTGTTTTATTTCTGTGTTTATATTGTTTGGGTTTTTAACAAAATTTCTTAGATCACATCACTTAGATCACATTACACATGAGTTATGTGTAATAATAATGGAATGACACAAGAAGAAAGTGCTGAACTACTGAAACATATTTAATACTTCACATAAAAGGCTTTTTTGGTGATGGCAGCTTGAAGATGCCTTTCACATGGAGAATGATGTCACATGCATTGCTCAGGTTTGAGTTTGTAACAGACTTCAACAGAGTGTAAAAATCTTGATGGTTCTGTGGGTCTCGTCTATCAAATCTGAGCTTTAATTTGTATCTTCTGTTGGATTCAGGTCAGGTGATTGGCTGGGCCATTTTACAGCTTGATTTTCTTTCTCTGAAAGCATTTGAGAGTTTCCTTGGCTGTGTTTGGATCATTGTATTGCTAAAATGGTCACCCTGGTTTCATCTTCATCATCCTGGTCATGTAAATATGCTGTCTGGGCATCCACTGCCTTTCTACACCTCCCTTTCTTCATGTGTTCAATACTTATTCCCTGTGTCATCTAATTTTATTATGCATAACTTCATTTGTAAACTAACAAGGTTTGTTTTCTTTGCATATATGGATTTCTTTGGTAGTTACCAACATTCGGGGAACATTTCAAGTCAACAGCATCTTTAGAAATATGTCTTGAGAAAAATGGTGACGTGTTCAATAACTATTTTCCCTGTTTTGTATTTCTTACACATCCTTTAAAAGGGTCTATTTTATGTTTTAATACAAAAGATTTGTGGCACAATGAAAGGCAGTAAACCATCAGGAATCATTTAGTAATTATATCGTGATTCTCTAAATTGAAAACAAATGAATTCGCAGTTTCCTAGAGGTGTAAATTCTCTTGAGTTTTCACTAGTCAAGCTGTGCGCTTGGAAACTGAATTAGACTTCCACTTTCTTATTCTCATCCTACTGGAGTGCACAGGTGTGTAGATATATGTGTTGTATGACATGATACATGCACGCACTGTGAACGCTCTCGCTGATGGATTATACAAACAACAAAGGAGAAACCCATCAGAAGTGGACTGAGCTGAATCAGTCACCCCATCCAGACTGTAATGAAGCGCTCAACTACATGGAAGGAGTCTGGAATGAGCTCACGGTGTGTGACATGTTGGCCCGTCTCGGTTCAGCACAGCTCGTGTACATCAGGAGGGGGCCGAGGTGGAGATTCACGGTCCATCGTGAGGCTCAGCTGTCGATTGATTGTGCAGTCGGCAGATGGTTTATTAAATGCGACTGTTTTTGAGCTGAAGATCACTATCTGTATTATTTACCGCCTGTTGGCTTAAAGTTAAAACGGCAGGACAGGAGATTGATGGAGATGCAATACAAAGATGTCTTTAAAAAAAAAATTCTATTAAATTCAATTCACCTTTATTTCTATTGAGCTTTTATAATGTAGATTGTGTCAAAGCAGCTTTACATAAATGATTATAGGGATTTGAAACAGTGTCAGTTCAGTTTTCAGAGTTCAGTTTAGCTAAGTTCAATGTGGTTTAGTGTTCACTGCTGAGGAGTGAATCCATCGATATGCAGCTTCACAAATCCTGAACTATGCAAGCCAGTGGCGACTGCGGCAAGGAAAAAACTTCACCAAAAAAAAAACTTCACCAAACTTCACCAATTGGCGAAACCAGGCTCAGTTGGGCACGACCATTTCTCCTCTGGCCAAACGTCTTGTGCAGAGTTGCAGTCTAGGCGCTGGAGAAAGCTGGACCTCAGCGAAGACTTGGCTGTCCCTGGAGCGTCACAGGAATCAGTCTCATGCTCTCCACTACTCCATGACCACCAAAGTAGACGCTCCGGATACCGCCTGGTCCAGGATTATGGAAACCTTGGGATCATCTTGTCGCGGGTCTTGGATTGCATCAGTGGCATTGCATAGTCTATGGGGGCCTCGGGATGAGGATCCCCTGGTAGGAATAGAGAATAAAGAGAAAAACTAGCTTAGCTGCTGTTCATAGTGTATATAAACAAGATACAGAAACCTGCATGGAGCACATTTATGTATCATACAGCTAAGTGACGCACTGAGTATATGCTTTACTAAAAAGATAGGCCTTTAATCTAGTTTTGAACTGTGAGAGTGTGTCTGAGCCTCGTACGTTATCAGGAAGGCTATTCCAGAGTTTAGGAGACATAAATGAGAAGGCTCAACCTTCTTAACTCGACTTTGCTGGAGCTAGATTATTTAAAGCTTTATAGGTAAGAAGCAATATTTTATATTTGTGTAAGGAGGATAAAATTGGGGTGATATGATCATATTTTCTAGACCTGGTAAGAACTCCTGCAGCTGCATTTTGTAGTAGCTGAAGTTTGTTAATAGAGGATTATAGTAAATTATAGGACAGTAGATAGAAGCAACCACTTACTTTAAAAATGTAATGTTCCTTGAATTTACATTTTACAATTTTTTTTCAGCGTGGAAACATACAAGCCTAAATATGCAGATCAGATTTAAAGGAATGACCACTTTTTTGTAAATTGGCTTATTTTACACTTCTCGTAGAGAATTAAACTGTTTAGTACCATTTTTGAATCCATTCAGATGATCTTCGGATCTGTCGAGAGCCCTCTTTTAGCTAAGCTTAGCATACATTACTGAATCGGATTAGACCATTAGCATCTTGCTAAAAAACGAGCAAAGAGTTTTGATAATTGTGATATTTTAAGTATAAATCCTGTACTAAGACTTAGAGAAAAGAAGTTGCTTTTTTCAGATGCAGAATAATATTATTGTTTATAAATCATCATATATTATCATATCATCATATTTAAATTAGGTACTATAATTGTGGTTAATAACAAAAATAAAATGAGTTATATGAAAGTTATCATTGGCAACACGGTGGCGCAGTGGGTAGCACAATCACCTCACAGCAAGAAGGTCATTGGTTTGAGCCCCAGCTAGATCAGTTGGCATTTCTGTGTGGAGTTTGCATGTTCTGCCCATGTTTGCGTGGGTTTCCTCCAGGTGCTCAGGTTTCCCCCTCAAGTGCAAAGACATGCGGTACAGGTTAATAAACTAAATTGGCCTTAGTGTATGTATGTGAATGAGTGTGTGTGGATGTTTCCTCGCTGGGATCTATCTTATTGTATATAAATGATCATATCATTATATAAATTAGGTACTATAATATTGGTTTAATAAATCAACATGGCTGCATCATGGAAGGACATCCGCTGTGTAAAACATATGTTGGATAAGTTGCAGGTTCATTCTGCTGTGGCGACCCCTGATGAATAAAGGCACTAAGCTAAAGGAAAAGGAATTAATTATTATGACACTATTCATGATGTATGAGCTTTTCCATATTAATACTGTTTTTGTACAGAGTTATTACAGAAATAAAGTGTTTTAGTCAATGACTAACGCCTTAAAATATACAGTAATGTCCAGTGTTGGGGAGGTTACTTTGTAATTGATTACAAATTATCCTATTTTAAAAGTAATAAGTAGTGTATCTTTTTGATTACTTTATAAAAGTAAAGTAACTAATTACATCTGATTACTTTTTGATTACTTTTTAATGGATATTTTGCACCAAATCATTGTCAAGCATTTACACAAAGCAGGTGTGACCTTACAGTAGCTCTGTTCGAATGTCATTGTTAGAATTTCAAAACTTTAAATCCCTTGAATTAGGATTATATTAATTTTATTTTAAAGTACAGCCACCACAAAACCAGACCTTTGTTGTTAAATAAAATTTGCAATTTTCATTTTTAAATCGAAGCCACTTAAATCCAAATCAATCACATCTTAGTGAGCAATAAAACTGCCAAAGAAACATATGAGGCAGAATTGTTCTGTTCAGGTATTTACCGTAAATAATATGATGTACTAAACAGAAACGTTATCTTTCAATCAAGCAAATTTGGCGACATCACTGACCGGAGCGAGAGGTGGCAGTAATGCACCAAAAAACATTTGCTTTTATAAAATAAAGAAAGGCTAAGTTACACACCTGCAGATGCTTTTTTAGGTTCAACATTGAAGCCTTTAATGTCAAACGTATTTTAACAGCTGGCAAACAAAACTGTTTGTGCCCTTTGTGAGCCTAGGGCCTGTGCACACCAAGATGCTTTTTGCTTGTGTTTTCCGTCGATGTTTAATGCCATACAGGTTAAGTTACTGGATGAGTTTATAAACTCACAGAGCTGGGTGCTCCTCTGAAAGGATCTAGTGGACTCAGACACAACTCCAAATGATATTACACTGTTTTTCAGCCTTCATAAAGCACATAAACACAGCTATATTCTCAATAAAAAAAAAAAACATGTTAGCCATTTAGCAATGAAGGTAGAGTCACTGAGCAGACAGAAGCCCCTCCTAAGACTCAAATCCACGTCTATTCTGAAATGAATCTTGACACGTGATTGATTGGATTTGACTCGCGATTTAAGCGAGTAAACTCAAAATGTTTACGAGTCTATTCACGCACAAATAGTGTGATTACTTCGTGTGTAATGCTTACAGCGGCAAAGAGTAGGTGCACTGCAAATTCAAACCAGAAAACCTTATTAAAAGCAGCACAGTAGCAGCGCTTTAAAGGGCCATGAAGGGCCATTTTTTAAAGGAGACAAGGAGCAAATCCGGATCTCACCATAGATGAGAAATGCTCTCGAGTAAAAAATGTTCCAAACAAACGCATTGCTGCCATGCATCGCGAGCACTGATCCACAGTGCACACTGAGTCCAGCAGTGCTTCTCATAGAGAAAATGAAACAAAACCTTCACAATATGAAAGAAACACTGGCGACCAGTATCTCCAAACAATTCATATTCTTTTCCCACAACTTTTGGCAACACAACGTGTGTCGTCTCTCCGCCGTCTGAACAGTGTTTCAGGTACAGTCTAAGAAAGCTAGCATGCATATTAATGAAGTTGCAGCGCATACATAATGGAGCGAGCTGATTGGTTTGAACCAAGCCATGCTCATGAATGAATGCAACACACTCAGAAATGTAATACGGGACGCCCTGGTACAGACGTCCAGTCCACATGCTGGAATACACGCTAAGTTCTCATGGCCATGACGCAGCTTCAAAAATTTGTTTCAAACCGGAAGTATGAATTTGCTCAAAATAACGCAAAAACAACCAATTTTCACTTTTTAGTGAGATATAGTGTTTTTAGCAGTGTGGGACACATATACGACTGTCAACAGCTCAAAAAATGTGTTTTGGTGTTTCGTCACCCTTTAATAAATGGCCATAGCAGAAGGCATCATGCATATCAGAAACAGGCAAAGCAACAGATTGATATAATTCAACATATTCCAAATTTTTAAAGAAATTTTTAGATGTAACCCTATTTGTAATCTTTAACATTTTCATAAGTAACTGTAATATAGTTACACATTTTTTTTTATCAAAAACTGTAACAAATTAAAATTATTTTGAAATTAAATTATGTAATGTCGTTACATGTAACTAGTTACTACCCAACACTGCTAATCACCATTTGAGGTGGATCATAACCTTTTATCAAAGTTTTCCTAAAACTATCGAACAACACCCATTCTTGTCCTAGGAAAAGAAATGTTGATTTACTTCAGATGTTGACTACTGTAAGCAAAATTCAGTTAAATGTATGGAGGGTCCATCAAAGGCTTAATTAGTCTTGGTTGAAAATGAAAGCTGAGCAAAATTCACAATAAATTTGTTACTCAAAGAGCAATTTTAGGCCAACTGCAATTATAATAAAAATAAATATAGTTTTAGTAATATTAAATAATTACTTTTGCTTAATTACATTTCCTATAATACAGCATTTACTGTACCTGCCACATCTCAAACCCCATTTTGATTTTGTTTATATCTTCAGTGTGTGTTTTGACCTGCCTTTCTTTTGATTGGTTTCTGTTCATTTCTTCAGTAAGATTAGCCCTTGTACCCATCAGCCATCTTTTTACAAACTCATTCTATATCTTTCCATCTACATCTGTCCTCGTCCTTCTCTCTATCGCTGTGTTTTTCCTTTCTGTCTAGCACACTCACACACACACACACACATTTCTCTGTATTTATCATGCAGTTTGTGTTTTAGGGTGTCCTGCACACCAGAGATCACAGAGCACTGCCAATCCTTTGCTTTCCACAGAGATGCTGTCTAAAATAAATAAATAGATAAATTGAACATAGTGCCAAGTTTATTCAAGATGGCTACATTTAAAAAAATCTGAATTTGGGCTGTTTTGTATAACTGGTGGGTCAGCTTTTAGCAATTTGTATAAACATTATTCTCACTATTTTAAACTTGACCGGATCTTTTAAACACTCTTTAAACATATCTTATATGGCATATATGTCAAACATTTCTTCATTATGGGTGCGTAAGAGCTAGGGATGATATAAATGGTGTATTTTCAAAATTAACCAGTTAGTTTGATGAACCATCGCTAATTCACCTAAAGGAAGTCCTGTGTATTAAGGTTGTTAGTATTCAGGGTGCATAACTCTCAAGCATTACTTACAGTTTTTTAACCACTCATAAGCATTGTGCAGTACTGATTCAACCAAACAGAAGTCTATGCAGAGCAAATTGTGATTTATTTTTTGTTGTTTTCACACAAGATTAACAGACATTTTCAAACACTTTTGTCATATATATTCTAAAAGTGGCAAAAAACTAGCATGCTTAACAAATTCATTCTAAAACATTTAACAGTTTTAAAACAGCCAGATGGAAAATTCTATGTTTTTTTTTGCTGTATGTACACTACATGACAAAAGTCTTGTAAGTGATCAAAGTTGTGAGAGCAACAAATAATAACTTGACTTCTTGTTGATCATTTGGAAAAGTGGCAGAAGGTAGATTTTTCTGATGAATCATCTGTTGAACTGCATCCCAATCATCACAAATACTGCAGAAGACCTACTGGAACCCACGTGGACCCAAGTTTCTCACAGAAATCCATAATTTCAGTATGGGAGTGTGTGAGATCTGCATATGGCAACATCAACAGCCTGAGGTATCAAGACATTTGAGCAGCTCAATACATTACAAACCATAGGAAAGGGGAAATTTTTCACCAGGATAACGCTCCTTCTCATACTTAAGCCTCCACATCAAAGTTTCTGAAAGCAAAGAAGGTCAAAGTGCTCCAGGATTGGCCAGCCCAGTCATCAGACATGAACATTATTTAGAGTGTCTGGGATAAGATGAAGGAGGAGGCATTGAAGATGAATCCAATGAATCTTGATGAACAATGGGAGTCCTGCAAGAACACTTTGTCCAAGCTCATGGTAGTCATACACAATATTTATTATTTTTTTCCCACTGCAACATGACTTTATATTCTATACTGTACATTATTTCTGCTCAGTGACAAGACTTTTGTCTAAGCAAAGTCAGACTTTACTGTCTTATTAAAATAATTAAAAATCAAGGCATGATCATATTTTATGCTCGTAAAATCTAGCGTAATCTAGAGGCCTTTGCCTTACATATAAGCCACTTCTGATATCAAATGAAGAACTAGAAGTCAAGTTATTATTTGTTGCTCCTAAAACTTAGATTTGATGCTCCTAAAACTTTGTCAGGTAGTGTATTTGAAACAAAGAAAATCTTTCTAGAAAATAACATAACCATTCCAAGCTGATCACAATTTGAACTTTGTTTGAATTTGAATGAGTTTGTTTTCAGCATTTTATTTTATTTTGTTTTAATTTGAACTATACCAACTTTGTTTTTCACAAAATGATTATGTTTTTTCTCTGAATGTAATTAGTATTCTCAGAAATTAATATGTTTATTCTTAATATGTTGCCTTGACTTTTTTTTGTTTAATCTTGAAGTCTCGAAGTTTTGGTTTGGCTGGAATAAAAACATATATATATATATAATAGCATATTTTTATATGTTTATATGTTAAAAAAAATAAATTATATATATATATATATATATATATATATATATATATATATATATATATATATATATATATATATATATATTGCCTTTAACCGTATGTGAAGTGCATGATATACAGACAATTAAACACATTACAGCACACATTAGATGTACATTGATTGAAAACCGTAACTTATTTATTGTAAAACAAAAAACAACGTAACACTCTTTCACCTTTTTTAGATTTATTTTTACCATCTTGCTGTTTTTGTTGTTGCTTTCATATATACTGTATCTCTACTGTTTCTAGATGAGACAGAGTAATTAAACATTAATGTTGTTTTTGATTATCTGTCTATTCTCTGTACACTAGTGAAAAAAACATCCATCCTAAAAAAAAATCAATAGCTGTGTTGAGCACTGGAGAGGAGAGAGCTGTTAGTTTGCCCATCTTCATCCTCCTTATCTTTCTAGTTTCCAGTAGATGTTTTTGGAATAGGTCAGAATAGTCCCCCACCTCCCTCCTCGTTCCTCCATTCGTTGGCTCGCTCCTCATCCCCTGTGAATGTGTGTCAGGCTGCTGACCGTCTGCTCTTCTGTGCACCCAGCTGGAGCGGTCGGCGCTCATTAATCTCTGTCTACACCTAAAGAGCCACTTAAGATGATGTAGAGCCTGTCTATGCACATACCTGCAGTTCGGCAGCAGACTGACAGCACAGCCGCTCGAGTCCACTGTCCTTCACACACACACACACACACACACCAGCACTGACACTACACATGGGAAGCAATGCTGCTTTTGATGATCCAAACTTTGATTTGATTGATGCAACCCCCAGTGTGCTATTTTTTAAAAAGGTTGGCAATGTATTGTTTTTCGACCATACTTTACAATAAGGTTCTATTAGTTAATGTATTTCCTAACATGAGCTAATCATGAACAATGATTGTACAGCGTTTATTAATCGTAATTCAGCATTTACTAATGCATTATTAACATAAAAAGTCTGCTTGTTAACATTAGTTACTGCACCATGAGTTAATATGAACTAACAATGAACAACTTTGTTTTCATTTACTGACGTCAACAAACATGAATACATGTATTGTTTATTGTTTCTTTATGAATTAATTAACATTAATTATTGTAAAGTGCTACCTGTTTTTCTTTTCTGTAACAATTTACATCTTTACATCAACAATTGAACACCTTAAAATACTCATTCTTAGTAATAAATAGTGGCTTATTGCCTCATATGTCTAAGATTTTTGCTGTTCACTGGTACACTGTTAACAATTTCCTGTAGAATCTACAGTTTATCTTACTGGCAGCAGTTTGTCAGTAACTTACTGAAAATCAATTACAGCAAAAATACTGTATTGTTACATTTACACCACCATTTATCTTGCTGTATATATATTTCAGTATTGTGTCTTTACTGTAAAATCGTAACCTTGCAATTATAAGGTTCTATCTGCGTTCTAAATGATTTTGAGATATTGAGCTTCAAAGGAGAGATTTGCGCAGAACTAAATTTTGAATCCTACTTCCGCCCACTCCCGCCAGGTTTTAGTCCGAACCCGACCGCAACCGCTTATATTCAGTATTTGTTGTCCCACTGCCCGACCCGCCCCATTTTCTACCCGCTGCGTCTGTTCCCGCTAACGGGGAACAAAACTGAAAACCACCCAGCTATACAGAGTCCAGACAGCTTAAAAACAATCTATCTGTATAAACACACACACACAAACACACATTAGCACCAAGCAAGTGACACACACACATAGGCATTACACTCTGCCTCTCATTCACACACACACATACAGTACAAAGCTCTCTCTCTCATTCGCACACACACACACACACACACACACAAACACACACAGCAACAAACAAGCTCGGGAGTGATTCTGTTAGACTACCCGCTCCCGGGCAAGTCACAGCAAGAAGGTCGCTGGTTCGAACCTCGGCTCAGTTGCCGTTTCTGTGTGGAGTTTGCATGTTCTCCCTGCCTTCGTGTGGGTTTCCTCCGGGTGCTCCGGTTTCCCCCACAGTCCAAAGACATGCGGTACAGGTGAATTGGGTAGGCTAAATTGTCCGTAGTGTGTGAGTGTGTGTGTGGATGTTTCCGCTGCCTAAAAACTTGCTGGATAAGTTGGCGGTTCATTCCGCTGTGGCGACCCCGGATTAATAAAGGGACTAAGCCGACAAGAAAATGAATGAATGAATAATACCCGCTCCCGTCCAAAATTAAACCAGTTACCGACCGCTCCCGCGCTTTATTCGGAAATTTATTGCAGACCTCTACTTCAAAGTTTTTGCATTCCATAACGAACAGCATGGGCCCTATCATACACACTGCGCAATGAGGCACAAGGCGCGACGCAAAATGTTGTTTGCAAGTTTCAGCTTGGCGCAAGAGTTGTTTTGATGTTTTGCACCATGCTGTTTAAATAGCAAATGCATTTGCGCTCATATGTGCGCCCATCGGCATTCTGGTCTAAAAAAGAAGGTGTGTTGAGGCGCATTGCTGGCGTGTTGCTATTTTGAGGAACTAAAATAGTCTGTTCAATTGACCAGATTAAAACAGTTCTATAGTCCAGCGCAGAGCGCATTATTTGTGCCCCTCGCTTAAACACTGCTTAATACATACAGGGTGTACAGCAATACACAAATATCTTTACAAATAAAAAAGTATTAAATGTTTATTAAAATATTACAAAAATGATTACTTTCTAGCCTAAATAAATATAAAAATCGTCCTTTTATGCCTTTTTTATCTCATTTTTTTTTCAGTTCATTCATAACAATTTGCTTTTGTATAATGCTATTATTATTAGCTGTATTATTTATTATATGCATTTTTATATTTGTTTTATAAAAACAGGCTTAGATTTGCCCACCTGTCAGGTTTTAGACCATATGGGTCATGTGTTTTTGGAAATAACTCACACACTTCGTTATTATTGTTCATTTATAGGTTTGCTGGAAATTAGAACTGAATTAGGAAATAGTGTTGAAACAAATCTTTGCGCTTAACAAACAAAATTAATTATTTATAGGATAATGGATATATGTGCGTACAACACGTTTCCCTTTCCATGAGAGTGAAAGTGAAATTACATAATGAGGAGGCTCATTCTCGCTGCAGATGATCTGTTAACTGTTTTCTCTGTAGTGAAGCATTCAGTTTTTCCACTTACAAAGTTCGTCATGTTAATAGCAAATGCGCCATGGCTCGATGCAACTGACTCTTAAAGGGAATGGGAGATAAGACTGATTGGTTTATTCTCAAAACACACCTAAAACTCATTACGAGAATAAGCTTTTAGACCATGCGCCATGGCGCAAAGCGGATTTTTCAATCCTTAAAATAGCAAAAGTAGATTCAGAAACGCCCTTAATTCCTTTGCGCCCTGCGCTTTTGGATCGTCAAAATAGAGCCCTATGTGTGTAACATTTGTTATTTAAAAAAAAAACTTAAAATGTAAATAACTTATAAAAAAATCCCATAATGTAAAAAGGTTATCAATTAATAAGAATATGTCAAAGCTTAATTTTGACAAAAATGTCAGATAAAACCTTAAAATTCTAAGGTGACGAAATATACTGCAATTGTTAAATTGCTACTTTAAACATGCTACATTTTTGTCCTACTGTAAAATACAGTTCATATTACAGTTAAATATTCTGTAATTTACAAAATTGTTAACAGTTTACTTAAAAAGTACATATTCTGCTTGATCGTATTCTACAGCCACAGTCCTACCAGACCTACACTTAACTACTACCATAAATAAATCAGAAATGAGGTGTTAATTGAGAAAAAAGTAATAACTAATAGTTTACTAATAGTTTAATAATTGTGACAAATTAAAAAAAAAAGATAGTATTTAAAATGAAGACAAAGCTGTTTTTCTCTACCTTAGGTCTTTCATTTATGGTTTAAAGCTACATCCACAACACTAGGTGTCAGTAGACATCTAAAACCACGATAATATTGACCTCTGCAATAAACAAAAAATGACCAAACGTGCCTATAAATTTGACATGGAAAGACAGTCACAGACCTTTTAATGATTTTTTATGGCGAATATGAGTGTGATGTACATTCAGGCAGTTGTTTGTGCAGATTGTTACATGGCTGTCTGGAGTACTCTATTCAGAGATGCGTTTCCCAAACAGTGATGTAACTCGCAGCTGAACTATCATAGTATGATGCATTGTTTGGGAAAAGAACAATGTAGTGACGAGTGTTTCCCAAAAGCCATAGTTTCTCTGTCGCAGATCCATCGTTTGAATGTTACAACGTACAATACCCCTACTGATGCTCTAAATGGTGTGAAATAACAACCTTTTTAGAGAAGAACCCCATCATTTCTTTGTGCAAATTATATTGTTTTACACACACATGCATAAAAAAAATTATATTAGTTTTGGTAAAAACATGCCCTCGCTTTCCATATTAGTTACAATATATGTAAATTACACATATAGGGCCTGTGTTTTCTTTACAAATATTATTGACAACATTACATATTCCATTCTAAAACATAAAATCACTTACAAAAGCTAACAAATATTCTAATCTCATATATACATCATATAAATAAATACATAAAGGCTATTTATTAAGAAACTAAATTTAATATGTATTATTTATTAGGAAATGAAAACAAATCCTACTCTAATAACAAAATTAATGATAATGATGACAATGATGATTATTGTTATTATTAAGTAGGATATTGTTTATTTATTTTTTTGAAGAGTCTACTTTTACAATTTGACACATGCAAAACCAGAAATGTTCTAATCCACAAGCCCATGTCATATACAGTACAGATACTTAATAAATAACCCACTATAAATTAAAAGCATTAACATATGCTATGTTTTTTTTGCTTTCACAAGCTTTGGAGACGTAACATAAATGCCGCTTTTAAATAATAGGTCACCTATAGCTTTCGTCATAAGCCACGGTTGTGTTCAAAATTACATTAATGTTTCCAAAGTGCACTGTGAAGGGAGCACAATTGTAAACATGAAGATCGCTAAAACTGAACTGTAAAAATACTTTGAAAGCAAATAACACCTAAGAGAGATGACCTTAATGCTTTTTTTATCATTCCAAGTTTAAATGTTAGAATGTTCTAAAGGAAAGATGATGATGTGACAATCAAAGTGATTTGATTTTTTATGAGGATTATTGCTTAGGGGGGATAACTGGGAATAGAACACAGCCAGGGACTATATTTCTAACTACAGCTCCAGAGGTGTAGTTGCAAGCATACAAATTTGCAACGCAGTTTGTAAATGTTTATTGGAACAATGGATTTGGAAAACACCAAATCAACGAACTATGTTTGTAACAATGGAACTTGTGACCTTAGCTGGCTAATGATTGTGACATTGCAAGTGTTATTCCACAATAACATCTGTTTACATGCATGTGGTTTCTCAGAATAGGAAAATAATATTATTTTATAGTGGTCTGTAAAATAATAACTAACTGGTATGTTGATCAGTATTGCACTACTGATATAAATTACCATTTTGAAAATACCCGGAAAAGGTTGAAAAACTGTGTGCAGTTGCAGTCTGTATGAATCCTCTCTTCGTGTTTTATTAGTCAAAAACATTTATATTTGTATTTTATTAAAAAATAATAATAATAAATTAGTCCATGCATTTCCTGGAAAGCCCTTTATATCGGTAATTTCTCAGCCAATTTTTTTCTGACAAAAGAAGAAAAAAATTCAGGTTAACATGAAATATACATTCTTTCCCAAAGTATGCACACCAGGGTTTGGAT